CCAGGTCAGTTGTTCTTCCAATGAGATATTTCACATTGTCTTCTATTTTTTTCATTCTTTTAGTTTTGTTTTATTATTTCTTGATTTTTCATAAAGTCATTAGCTTCCATTTGCTCCATTCTAATTTTTAAGGAATTATTTTCTTCAGTGAGCTTTTGGACCTCCTTTTCCATTTGGCCAATTCCACTTTTTAAGGCATTTTTCTCCTCATTGGTTTTTTGGACCTCTTTTACCATTTGGCCTCATCTGTTTTTTAAGGTGTTATTTTCTTCAGTGTTGTGTGTGTGTGTGTGTGTGTCCTTTATCACACTGTTGACTTGTTTTTCATGATTTTCTTGCATCACTCTCATTTCTCTTCCCAATTTTTCCTGTACCTCTCTTGCTTGATTTTCAAAATCCTTTTTGAGCTCTTCCATGGCCTGAGACCAATTGATATTTTTATTGGAGGCTTTGGATGTAGTAGTTTTGACTTTGTTGTCATCTTCTGAGTGTGTATTTTGATCTTCCAGAGTTTTTTTTTCCCATTGTTTACTCATTTTCCCAACCTATTAGTTGACTTTTAACTCTTTGTTAAAGTAGGGCTCTGTTTCCAAGGTAGAGGGCACACTGTCCCAAGCTTCAGGGTTTTGTACAACTATTTTCAGAGACACTTCTAGGGACCTGTAAGTTTTCAGTTCTTCCAAGGTGGTATGATCTAAGGAGAGGTGTCTGCTACTCTCCTGGCCTGTGCTCTGGTCTGTGAGCACTCTTTTCTGCCCTGGAACTGTGAGGAGCGTCCCCCACCTCCACCACTGCTTCAGGCTCTGCTATGCTAGTGCTCCTCCTCATCCTGGCACTGCCACCCAAGGCTGCAACCTAGATCTGAGTAGGGGCAAAGCAACAGAGTCTTGCCTCAGTGCTAGCAAAAAGACCCCTGTAATCGCCTTCTGACCAGTAGTTCGACCCCCTTACTATCTGTGGGCTGAGAGCTCCAGAAGTAGCCACCGTCACTGCTGATTCAGTCACTCCCAAGGTCTACTCCTGGCTTGCTGTGGTCCAGGCTGTACTGGGACAGCATGGGCTGGACTGCACTTCACTCTCATCCAAGTGAGACAAACCTTTCCTGCTGACCTTCTAAGTTGTCTTGGACTGGAAATTTGTTTCATTCCATCTTTCTGCAGATTCTGCTGCTCTAGAATATGTTTAGAGTCATTTTAAAATGTATTTGGAGGGGTTTGGGGGAGAACTCAGACAAGTCCCTGCTTTTACTCTGCCATCTTGACTCCACCCCCTGCAATCTCTTTTTAAAAATGCTTTACGCTTGGATCAAAAATTTTTTCAATAAAGGAAACTTTTACACTGTTTTTCAATATTGTTCAGTCATCTGCACCAATGAAAGGATTAACACTAACTAATAAGGATAATGGAAAAGTACAGAAGATCTACCCAGATAATCTACCTAATATGGACAGCCTCTACCTAGTAATATAAGATGCCAGCCATCTGGTTTACACTATTCTGCAGCATGCAGACTTTTTTTTAAAACCACTGATTAAGAAGTATCTCTCATAGCCTACTTTTTGTATTCAGAATTTCCTTGAATTGCCAATTCACACATGGTCAGGACTAGTCATTAATGCTATCTGGTGTTATAATTATTAGCTATACAACTTTGATCCCTGGTCACATCCTTCACTTCCCATGTACTGGTGTGCTAGAGTGTACTTGAAGGATATTAGATTATGCTCTTTGGCTAAAATTTCCTGAAATAGGAAACTTTTAGGTAGGCTGTGTCAGAGATTCACTACCCCTGAAGATCATCATAAACTCTCCAGGGCACGAAGCTAGAGCGTGGTGGATAAAAGTTCAGCATGGTTCTTGCAAGAGCCTACTTGGAATTGATGACTGAATGAATGAAGTGGAATTCTATCTCACTCTTTTCAAGATTAATTGAAACTTTTTAGCTATAAATAAATAATAACAACTCAGATCTATAGGGTACTTTGAGATTTTCAAAGTGTTTTCCCCACCACAACCCTGAGGCATAAGTAGTGTGGGCATCATCACCATTTACAGATGAGAAACTGAGTCCTAGAAAGGATACATGGCTTGCTGAGGATCACACAATTACTAAGTATTTGAGGCAGGATTCAAATCTAGGTCTTCTGACACCAGCTTCAACACTTTATACTATGCTACCTCTCAGAAAATTAGGCATCTGAAATGCTGCATAAGCTACCCCATTTCCTTTTTTCTCATTCTAAACACTGTTATTACTTGGCTAATATGCCCGCCACAGACTCATGGAGCTAATGACTCAGTTAGGGAGATCAGGAACTCTATGCCTTGGATCAGGCTTAGAAGTCATCTCCAGGGGGCAGGTAGGTGGCGCAGTAGATAGAGCATCGGCCCTGAAGTCAGGAGGACCGAAGTTCAAATCCGGTCTCAGACCAAACACTTGACACTTACTGGCTGTGTGACCCTGGGCAAGTCACGTAACCCCAATTGGCAAAAAGAAAAAAAAAGTCATCTCTAAAGGGGTGGCTGGGGCTCCTGAGAGGCCATGGGCCAACCCTGAGGGCTGTGTGACCAATCATTTGGTGGGTACCAAGATGAGTCACAGCCTATCCTTCCGGTGTGATAATTAAAAAGGCTCAAGAGACATAGTTTCTGGGTAATTTAATCATTTTATTAATAAGGCCAGCACATTATTAATAAAAGGATGGTCATTTGGCCGTCTCTCTTAGACCAGAGACAATCATGGCAGCAGGCTCAGAGCTTTCATATTCTTTTCAAAGAGGAACGGCAATCAATTCTGACTGGTTAACACAATGAGAGGTGGGCTATATTAAAATGATGGGCTGAGAGTGACATCAGGTCACCCTTGGATACAGAAGCTATCTCTATACCCAGACCACCCCAGCCTTGGGCCATCTCTTCGAAGAATGTACACCCCACTCAGGCCTGAGCTGGACGCACTAGCTACCCTACCAGGGTGAGGTCTCAGTCCAATCTCATCTGCAATGTTCTTCAAGAGCCTGAACTTTGAAAATCAGGACTTTATAAAGAGGTGGGGGTAGGGGGGAAAAGATTCTGGCTCTCCCCCAATCATCGGTTATGAATAATCATTTCTCTCACCTGCCATAGAAGAGTTTGTCTCCAACACAATCATTCCAGTCCTATCTCCCCCTGCAACTGTTCTGGCTCCAGATCTCCCCTCTTCTGACCCTGGGGTCACTTCTCTGAAGCAGCGGTGTCAAACTCAAATGGAAGGTGGCCACTAAATCATATAAGGATTCCTGCTGGTATATGTTAACTTAGAAAAATTACATGTTATCATTATCTATCTTCTACTGTATTTTTATCTTGCTAAATACTTCCCAATTACATTGTAATCTGGTTCTGGCCTCACTTGGGAACATTGCAGCACTTTTGCTCTAAAGGATCTCACTTTCCAGGGATGGTGGGGAAGTCTTCAGCAGGGCAGTCCTCTATATTCAAGCTTCCATGCTCTTTTAAAAACTGTTAATTGGCAAATATGTTAAAGCAGTTAAGGAATGGTTTGTTTTGAGTTTTGACTTTAAATTGTTTGTTGAGGCAACATGGTGTTGTGGCTAGGGAGCCTGTTAAAAGCCAGGAAGATTTGGGGTTCAATTTCTACCTTAACATATACTGTTGGGAGGCTACTCATACCACTTAACTTCTCCAGGCTCTAGACTGGACTAAAAACTAGGGTTGACCTCCATCGGTAAAGTGGCCATCCCTGCCCTCCGGGAGCTCACAGTCTAACGGGGAGACCACTCACAAAAACCTACCCAACCAGGGAGATACAGACAGGGTACTTTGGAGATAATCAATAGAGATCCACAACTCTCCATCTCCCGACCTGGTGCCTTTGCACCGGCCGTGCCCCACGTCTGACTGCTCTCTCTCCATTACCACTGCCTCCTGGCTGCCTTCCAGGCTGAGATCATCTTGGCCAGCAGTGCCTTATCGGCTCAGATTGCCTTCCTTGTATACCGTAGGCACCCCTTAGGAACACAGTCATTTATATGCATCCTAGAGTGGAAGCTCCCCGAGGGCAGGGACTTCAGTAGGAAAAAGATAGGGGGAAAGGGAGGGGGAGGGGAAAAGCAGGGGGAGGAGGAGTCCTGCGCAGCCGCACTGGGGCCCACCGGAGGCAGGCGGGAGGAGAGGGGAGGGGGCGGCCGGGAGCTGTCGCAGCTCGTGACACCATCGGGAGGCGTCCGCTTGTGACGCCATCAGGAGGCGCCCGCGCGTCTCCCGGCTCCTGGAGCTCCTCGGCGGCCGCTTGGGACCGCGCGCGGAGCGTCATGAGCGGCGGCGGCGTCCTCCTCCTGCGGGCGTTCGGGGTGGGCTCCCGCCGGGCCCTGGGCGCTCTCCCCCAGCGGCGGCTGGCGGCGGGCATCCTCCGGCGGCTCCTGCGCACCGGCCCGCGGTGCTCGTCCTACGCCAAGGACCTGTTCCTGGGCAAGATCCAGAAGGTAACGGCCGCCCCGGCCCGGCAGGCGAGGCGGGGGCCACGACCTCCCGCACGCCCGCCCCAGGCCCACCTGTCAAGCCCCGCCGTTTGCCGGTTGTGGGAGCCCGAGCCAATCGCCTCTCCTCTCCGAGCCTCGTTTCCCTCATCTGTAAAATGGGCAGGATCGAGCAGCAGCCGGGCCTGCGCCGCCCCGGGTTTGAACCCGTGTTTCTCCCTTCCGGCAGTCGGGGTGCTGAGGGTGGGCCGCTCCCTCCTCTCCCTCTGATCCGTGAACCTCAGGTTCTCCCTGGTCTGGGTGATCCCTAATGTCCATCTCGGCTCCAGATCCTCTGAGCCTGGCCTCGCCCATCCCCCAGCGTGGACAGCTCTTACGAGACCTTGCATCAGGAGGGGGAAAAAAGCACATCTTTATTGTCGTTGACCTCTAGCTGAAAGGTAGCATTTCCTTAAAAGATTTGAAAGCATTCGGAGAAGGGGTCCATAGGCTTCACTAGACAGCCAGCAAAGATGAAGAAACCCTGATCTCCTTTTAAAAGTGAGGAAACAGGCTTAGGAGAGGGGAAGTGATTTGCCCAAGGTCATATTGTGAGTTAGTGGCAGGACTGGGAAATGAACACGGATCTGACTCTCAGTCCAGTAATCTTTTAAAAAAATTTTTTTTTGCTTAAAAATTTTTTTCCCTAATGTTCTTTCTTACCCCACCTCTCTCCCCTCACAGCAGCAAACTAGTTCAAGCCTTCATTACCTGTCACTGTTGGAGAAATCTCTACCTCGAGTCCACTTTTTCTTAATCCTTCCCGAGGATGCTGCTAGATAAAGGTTTTAAGCTGTATCTGGTGTCCACTTTTTCTTAATCCATCCTAAGTATAGTGCCAGATAAATCTTAAGTACAGCTTTAAATTCATCATTACCTTGCTGACAAAACCTTTAGTGGTTCCTTAAAGCGTATTGAGGATATAGTTCCTGCTTAGGTGAATCTCTGTGAGTATGACCTCCTTCCATTCATGGTGTAGTTTATCCACTCCCTGTAGTCTTGTCAAATGTCCTTCCAGGGTTTTTAACGTATAGGTGCCAATTGCAGCAACTTAGGTTGTCCCTCTGTTGTCCTTGACTCTTACTATGTGAAATCAAAGAACTGGAGTCAAAAGAAACTTAGAGATCATCTAGTTCAACCCCCTCATTTAAAGGTGAGGAAACTGGGGCCCGGGAAAGTTAGTTACCATTAGAGGTAAAATTTGAGCCGAGGTCCAGAGTCACTACTAACATAGAGTTAGGACAGGCAACTTGACATGAAACCTCTCCCTAAATTGACATCAGCTCATTAAGGACTACTCTCAGGATGTAGTCATTAAACTGGTTCCAAATCTAAATGTATAATCACCTAAAATGTGTAATCCGGTCCACAGGTGTCTTAACTCAGCCTGAATGCTGCAAGCCACTTTAAATGTAATTGGGACATGTTAAACAAAATAAATAAATAAAATATAGATGATTTTAATTTGTGATTTTCTAAGTCAATATGTGACCATAGGGTTCCATTTCTGTTTGAGTTTAACCCCACTGATCCAGCCTATAACACTGTATCTTGGCCTCAAGAGTTGCATGAGAGGCTTTGTTACGTAATTTGTTAAAGTCTAAATATACTATGTCAGCTAGATGGTGAACTAGATAGCAAATTCCACCTGGAATTAGGAAGGCGTGAGTTCAAATCCGGCCTCAGACATTAGCTGTGTGGCCTTGGGTAAGTCACTTAACCCTGTTTGCATCAATTTCCTCTTTTGTAAAATAAGCTGGCAAACCATTCCAGTGCCTTTACCAAGAAAATCCCGAATAGGGTCAGGAAGAGTTGGACATGACTGAAATGTCTCAACAACAACAAATACTATGTCTGTGGCATTCCCTTCGGAAACCATTTTAGTTGCCTTGTCAGAAACAAGACAAGATTCATCTGGCATGACTTGTTCTTGATGAACCTGGCTGACTTTTAGTGATATCTGCATCTTTCCTAAATGCACACAGACCAGCTCTTGTAATGGCATTATAGACTTTTTCCAGTAATCAGTCAAGCTCCCTGGTCTATAATTGGCAGATCTCAATCTCTCTCTCTCTCTCTCTCTCTCTCTCTCTCTCTCTCTCTCTTTCTCTCCTCTTTTCTTTCTCTCTCTTTCCTTCCTCTTTCCTTCCCCCCTCCTCTCTTCTCTTCCTTTTCCCCTTTCTCTTCCTCCCTCCCATCCATCTCTCCTCTCCTCCTTCTCTCTTTCTCCTCTGTTCTCTGTCATTCAGCATTTTCTCTTCTCCAGTTTATACCACCTCTACCCATTGATCAGTAACACCAACTCAACCATCATACCTACCCATTATTTCATTACCTAGACTGAGCCTGGTGACTTGAACTTTCTAAGAACATGTTGAAGCTGTCTGATTCTGTCTTCATTTATCTTATATTTCTACTCTCTGTTAATCATTTTTGTTGTCTCATCTTTATTCAGCAACATATAGTAACCTTATGATATGTAGGGTCATCTTTGAAGAAAAAGGCATATAGCTGTATAAAACATAGATGGTAATCCCATATATGGGATCATCTAATATCCTGTGCTTCTGAGAGTAGCAACAAAAGTAATTGAATTTAAGTAGGACAGCCTTAAACAAGACAGGACATGTACTGTAAGGGAACATTGAAGTACAGCTTTGACCCATTTGGCATAGGTGTTAATAATAGCTACTGGGAGAAAGGCATTCAGAAATGGCATAATGAATAGGGTCTCTGAGGTAGAACAGCAGGTGGTCCGGAGCTGGAGGCCCTGGATAAAATTCTCCATTTAGAATGCCAGTTTTGAGGATATAACCCAGTTTGTTATATCTTATCTTGCTCCTAAGTTTGTTGTAGTTTTCTGCTTCAGCAACCAGTACCTCAGTCAGGCAGAGAACAGCAAATCCCCTTTTCACTTCCTCTGCCTTTTGAAGGATGAAATTGTCATTGAGACAAGTTACACATTTCTGGCCTGCTCTGCCTTTAGCATAGAGAAAATCCTGCAGATGTCTGGGTCCCCTATCACTATGGTATCCTATTATTTGTGCCAAGTTTGTGATCTCTTTTCCAAGTGCCTCATCTAGTTTCTCCTTTCTGCCTACGCAGTCTGTAGTATGTCCCCAAAACACTATTACTTTTTCTTCATCTCTCTCTGCATCCTCATTCAAATGCTCCCTACCCAGTTTCCCCCGTTCAGGTTCCTAGATTTCCTAATGAGTGTATCTTCTTAATTTAGAATGCTATTCCACTCTGCTCCACTTATTTCTTTTGAAGAAACTATGCTCTGTCAGAGTAGTATTTCACTCACATCTATCCCTGGCCTCTAGCTATACAACACAATATGTAGTTGGCGAGTCCAGGAGAACTGGTTCCCTACTGACTTTAGTGTCCAGGTTATCTTTTAGAGTCTTTGAACAGTAAACATAGAAAAATCAACAGTTGCATCTGTAGCTGGGTAGAGATCTACACTGTCTTTATTCTTTACTCTTATGCCATATAGCATCATAAGCTAGTCTCCTCATGGATATAGGGGAAAAAATCCCACAAGATTTGGAGTCAGTCGCATTGGCTTCCATTTCCAGATCTGCTTTTTGCGTGGGACCTTGGGCACATCCACCTCTCTAGCCTTCAGTTTCCTCATCTGTAAAATGAGGGTGCTGGACCATTGGTGTCTGCAACATTCCTTTCAATTCTAAAGGCCTGTGATCTTAGGATCCAGTTGTCTTTGTAATTTACCGTTATCAGAATTCAGGGAGCGCTGTTAGCTTGGTAAAAATCTTGGTCTGCAAGTGAGTTTCCCTGGTGCTGGCTAGTATCAGCAGTTGGTCATCTTCATCTTCTGTATTGCTTCATCAGTTCAGCCAAGTGGGCCATGCCCTTTTGCACAAGTTCTTTCATGTAGGCCTCAGAACCAGAGTAATCCAGTGTTCCTACTGCCCTATAATATGTGCTTTTGGTGATGAGTGCAGACTGCACAGTTGAAAGTGTTTCCCAGAAAATCATGTATGTCCGGCACCAGCTTCCGGGTCCTTGGATATGAAGCTTAGAGCACCAGTAGTAGGACTGTTCTTTGGTCCTTAGCTAGCACGTGCTTCCTGACACACGTGTGTCTTGTTGGCCTTTTGAGCAGCAATACAATGTGCCTTGTGTTGATGTTTGTGGTTGGTGAGGTCTGTGGAATCACAGTCCACTGGGCTTATACCCCCGGAGGTAGGCCCCATGAGCTTTCCTTGTGCTTGTTCTTAGTCCCCACTGTCACCCTGGTTTTGCTGGACTGTCTTTAATTTGTCATTGTGCATCTTTCCTGAGCTCTAGTCTCATGTTGCCGTTGCCTTTTGGACATTTCAGACTGAGTATCCCACAGTCGTCTTAAACTCAGTATATCCAAAATAACTAATTCTGTTGTCTTCCACAGCAATTTGTCTTCCTGGTACCCTTATTTCTTTTGGGACACCACCATACTTTCAGTCACCAAGGCACACAAACTCCCTGATTCCTCACTCTCTCGTGCCATATAGCCATTCATTGGTTAAGTCTTGGCAGTTTTACCTTCACATCCCTCACATCCATCTCCTCTCCATTCATATCACATCCGCCATAGTTGAAGCCTTCGTCACCTCTCATTTGGACAATTGCAACAGCCTCCTAAGTAGTCTGACTGCCTCCAGTCTCTCCTCTCTCTACTTCATTATTCACACAGCTACCAATGATATTCCTAAAGCACCGGTCTCATTATATCATTCCCTTACTCAATAAACTCCAGTGGCTTGAATCTTTATTGCCTTGGATCAAATACAGATTCCTCTGTTTGACATTTAAAGCTTTTCACAACTTTTCAGCCGTTTGTCCACATTATTACTCTTCACTTACTCTGTAATCTGGCCAAAATGGCCTTCTTGCAGGTCCTCACAGACAACATTCCCTCTCCCATCTCTGTTGTCTAGGCCGACGCTCATCCTTGGAATGCCCTTCCTTCTTACCTCTGCCTCTTAGAATCCCTGGGTGTATGGGTGTTCAAGGAGGACTAGCACCTCCAGTGTGAGGGCTTGCCCAGCCCTTTTCAGGGCTGTTTGTCCATCTTTGGTATTCACTTGGCACTCAACTGTCACCTGTGGCTCCAAGAAGCTCTAGCACATGCGGTGGTCACATCCTCCTAAACTGTCTCAGCCACTGGGCTAACCAGGCTGAGGGTAACCAGCAGGTCCCAAACCCATGCATGTGAAGACTTCGCCCAGTGGACTAGGTGAATGAGAACAATTTGTTCCAGTGGCCATGAAGGCGGCTGAAGCAGGTGCTTTAGAGCTTAGTGAGACATTAAAGACGCCAAGGCCAATCACTGCATCCCAAGCCATCGTTAGCTCTTCTGGCTTTTATCTTGCCACTGGACTTCAGTGACTCTGGAAGAGAGAGTGAGACTGACTGCAATTTTGCCTTAGTTAAATCCAATTCACAAAGGAGTCAAGACGTCACCCTGTGATATCACTGGTCCTCTTTGAAAACGAAGGACCAACAACAACAGAATCTCTAGATTGCTTCAGAGGTCACCCTGAGTGCCATCTCGTACATAAAGCCTTTCTTGATCTCCACTTCCCCCAAGCTGCTAAGTGCCATACCCAGGAAATGACTTTACTTTAGATATATTTTATATCTTATCTGTGTGTGTTGTTTATCTCCAATAGAGTATAAACTCTATGAGGCAGGCACTCCTTGCTTTTTGTCTTTGTAGTCCCAGCACCTAGTATAATGCCTGTTGCAAAGTAGGCACTCAATAAATGCATTGATGGAAAATTCTGTGTCTTCATACCTGAGAGTGTAAAATAAAGTGAATATGACTGGTATTCTTATTGCAAGCTTCCCCATTTTGCTTCCGTCTTGTCATCTCATCTTTTTCTCTTCTAAGTTAATATTCTTACATTTAGTCAGATATCTACTTATGTTGGGAAGGTATATATTGAAAAGGTGCTATAGGACACTTCCCTCTCTCACTCTTGATTGATTGGCTGAGGTGAGAGGGGAGCCAGCTTTCTTTTTCAGTGATGCCATCCATGATGGTGCGTATTGGAACAACCAGCCACCACTAAAAATGACTGAGAAGAACGATTGGAGGGGGATGAGGGGGAATAAGACAACCCTATTTCAAACAAAAAAGCCTGTGCAAATAACCTCCTAGAATGTTTATTAAATTGTTTGGTATAAAAAGGCAAAAATAATAAGCAGCTCAGGACCATGGGGGTGTGAGAAGCCATATTTTGAAATGCTCTGGCACTGTCCCTTATCTAGTGATATTTTTATGGCTAGTCCAAGTAGGACATTTGTTCAAAACAACAGCTCTTTTTTAAAAAATGTTTAAAGAAATTTTGATTTATATCTTTTTTTATATCACCAAAATTTCTTCCAGTACCCTTTCCCATCCCATATAACAAATTACATTTTAAAGAAAAAGAGGAAAAAGATCAGCAAAATTAATCAATACATTGAAAAATTCTGAAAATATGTGCAATTTACCACACCAGCCCATGGACCTCCCACCTCTGTAAAGGAGTAGGGTGGGGGGGTGTCTTCTCATAACTCTAATTTTGGATCTCCAAAATTTTACAGCAGTTAACTTTTATTGTTTGTGCTTGTTCAATCCCTTTACTTTGACATCTTTATTAAACTTAATGCAATGTTGGCATGCCATGAAGCCTTAAACCAAACTAAAGGTCTGCAGATTATCAACAGTGTTCTGCTGCTGTGACTGTAAAACTTGGACCTTCAGATCTAGTTTCTTAAATAAAATGGTTTTTTGGGGGTTTTTTTTTTTTTTGCTTTTGAGACATTTAATGAGAAAACAAAGTAACCAATGAGGTTCTCTGTTGCCAATCGGTCCAGCAGCATAGAAGGTACTATTATGCATTTCAATTTTCTGAGCTCTATGTTAGGGAATCCTGGAGGTAGTAACCTGCCCTCCATCACCCCACCCCTCTTTGCCTTTGACTTCTAAGTGAAGGTAGGGCTGAGACACAGGATCACGTAATCCATCCTGTTAGAAAAGGTTGAAATTCAGTGGTGTCCAAAAGACCATTTCTGTCAAGAGTCATAAAGTTCTGGTGGGATCACAGCAAGCCTTGTCTCTTGTTAAGCCTTAGGCTTGGGGTCAGCCTTTTATCTGCTAAAAGTAGCTCTGAGGGCTCACTCTCTAGAAGGCATATAGGTTTATCTAGATCATGGCTTTTTGGCCTTATAGGTTGTAGCTGGTTCTAGTAGATATTATCCTAGTACCTTAGCCTCAGGTCTTTTTGCATTGAACCAAAAACTGAATCCTGAGATGGGATCGGTTTGACCCAGAGGCTTACAATGAATGTTTAAACAACAACCACAAAAACCTAGACTTTTGCTTAAGCAAACCTTGTTTCGTAATTATTTGACTTCACTTTAAGTTTTAGGTGCATTAAGTCTCAACAATTTTGCATTTATGCCAAGTTGTCCTCAGTAGTCTTCGTTTTCTTTCACTTTGCCACCTCTAGTTGGGCGTACTCCATTCTTTCAAAGTGCTGGTTTTCTCACTTTGCTTTATTTCATGTAGATCTTTTCTGTTTTCTTTGTGTTCTTGATGTTGTTATTCTTAATTGCATTATAACATTTTGTTAAATTAATAAAGCACAATTTATTTAACCCTTCCCCTAGGTCATTTACAGAGGTTGGGGTTTTGGTTTTTATTTTTGTTCTGGATTGTATATAACACTATGAAAATCTTTGAATACTTAGCTCTTTTAAAAAAAATAACACTTTAATGATTTATTTCAAATAGAAATTATTGAGTCAAAAGGTATGGCTATTTTTATAACTGTTGAAGATGAACAAGCTTGTAATTCCACCAGCAATGAATGAGTATTCCTTTTCCTCCATAGCCTCATCAGCCTTGCTTTTAATTATTATTGCCTGTTTGACATGTGGGAGTGAAAAATGGTTTTAATTTATTTCCTTTTGACTATTTGTGAGCATTCTAAGTAATTATTAACAATTTCTGTCTCTTCTTTGACAGTAAGTTCATGTCCTTTGACCATTTATCTGTTGTGGACTGAGAATTACTCCTGTGAATTATTCCCTTTTTGGGACTTTATCAATAAAATTATCAAAAGATATAAAAATTTTTGTTTTAAGTTTTTTAACTCAAATGCCAAAAAAGAAAATTTATACCTCATTTGACACTCCTATTTCTTATATTTTTCTCCCAACGTAGTGTGTAGAATAATGCCTAAATATTTTCATTCCATCACAGCTCAACTAAAGTTCCCTTTTCCTATATCTTTTTTTTTTTTAA